ATAAAATCCTTGTGTGGAAGGGTATATTGATTGACAGTGGGAACTGTGAACAACCTGTATACTACTAACATTAGTTATCTTTGAACAGTCGTGTGTTGTCAATTACCTTCTGACACCATGAGAAACTATTTCACGTAGGTTACAGGACATATGCATGACTCCCATTCTCTTTTTGAAGGAATGAAATAACTGTTAAGGAGAAGCTGAAAACCCCACACAACACTGATGATCTCCCTTTGCAAAGTGAACATATTCTAGGACACTCAGCAATACTGAGTCTTCCCAACTTCAATGTTTTGTTTGACTGAAAAACTTGTTCAGTAGGACAGTCTCAAAATGCAAAAATATATTGCTCCAGGGTTCACTTTTTAAAAAAAATATATACTCAGCTATCAATGTATATATGCCTTACTTTATGAAAATGTGACTTACATTCAATTTTGAAATATAACCACCATGATCTTAAAAAGTAGAAGAGGAGTTAGAGATGAGCTAGTCTTACCTTCTCATTTCATTCATAAAGAGTGGAAAGTTTAGAGAGATTTAATGGGTTCCCTAGTTAATATCCATGATACCTAAACAACTTTCACAAATAATGAAAAACAGCCAAAGATCATAATAGGTAAATAGACATTACGAATGAAGAGCAAGAGCTGTAGGGCTGTGGCTCAGTGGTAGAGTGCTTGAGGCACTGGGTTCGATCCTCAGCACCACATAATAAATAAATAAATAAATAAACAAACAAACAAACAAATAAAGGATATTGTGTCCCTCTGCAACTAAAAAAATATTTTTAAAAAAGAATGAAAAGCAAGTTACAAATGAAAGGATGCAAGTGACCAATAATCACCAAATATGCTCAACCTCTGGAATAGTAAGGAAAAGGTAGATAAACCTGTTATTCTTAAGTTTATTTATAAATTATAGCCTAACAAAGAAGCAAGCAAAAAAAAAATGCAAAGATCATACGGGGGAAACACTGATCAGCCCCTCAAAGTGCCTGTACCCCCCTGCCAATTCCACTCCCAGGACACTCAGCAATAATGCCTCAATAAAAATAAGGAGAAACACCCAATGGGAAGTTGAATGAACAAGCCAGTTATGAGGAAAAATTGCAAGTTAAATAGCTGAGTGAGGAATACACTGTTTGCATTAAAATGCTCATAATAGTGTGGCTTTAAATTATTGGGGCCCCGTTTCAATGAAAACATTAAATATGTTGCTAACTTCATGCCTTATTCTAATTTTATAAAAATAGGTTCTATGCAAACACACCACATGCTTGTCTCTGTCTCTTTGGGCGCAGCGAAAGAAGTCAGGAGTTTATTTCCTCTGCAAATAAGGCCCCTAACCTCTAAGTTTGGTATTAAAATTTTTAGGCATTCATATCTTAGAACAAATTCCCCTATGCTGTGAATCATGGTTTTATTCAAAATAGAGCTCATTATAATGTCATAAATGTCAGCAGAATTCCCCTCAGATTACCTGAGAAGTGGTGCTTAATTCCAGATGAATAAAATATCATGTAAAGGGCACTTTCTTATTTTCCTCCTTAAGAAATGTATTTTTCAAAGAGTGATTTCATACAGCCCCAATTTCAAAAGAGGTGGGGTAAAGGAGAAAATTCTGATATTAAATAAACCTTCCCCCCAAATAAATAATTTTCCATTTGAGTAAATTCAAAATACATAAACTTAATAAACATTGTGGCCAAAAGAGCCTATATATCAAAAAAATGTGCCTCCTTTATCTGAAAATGCTGGCCTGCTTGCTTTCAGAAACAGGTTCTGTTCTCAAACTCTTGCTCACTTAAAAATGAGTTTTCTTTTCATAAGGGTTAATTGATCTCCCATACTACATAACAGTAATAGGTGCTTATTATGCTTTTCAAAGAAAAAGTGTGCATACCTGGCTCTTCAATTAGGTGCCTAAAGCAAACACTTGGCAGCTTACAACTTTATTTTGGTCTCCCTTTAGGTTTCTTTAAAAAAAAAAAAAAGTAGTCTTGGTCCACAGTGAAAGAGAAGGAAAGGGACACTGTTTTATTTCATATACAAACAAGGTGTCTAAAGCAATGCCTGTCTTCTCTGAGCCCATCACATATGCTGAGCACATTTGGGTATCCAGTAGGGGTGTAGATTTCTTTTGAAAATAGAACTAAATTAGTTTCTACACTAGGAAACAAATTCTGGGACTGAACACTCCCTCTTCCACTAGGAGGCAGCAGGGGTTCCAGCCCAGCCTGCAAGGAAGGCCTCAGGAAGTCAGCTGAAAAGCTAGCTTTATCTAGAACTGTCCAGGAATGAGCCTAGTTCCTGGCTCAGCCTCCAGCTGACTCAGCCTGGGGGTTGTGCTCAACGCCAGGGTGGTCATCCCAGAGTCTAGAACAAGCATCAGCAAATGGCAGCCAGTGGCCAAAGCTGGCCTGCTGCCCGTTTTGTAAATTAAGTTTTACTAAAACATAGCCAAGCCTGTACATACTGTTTATGGTTCTTCTTGCTGCAATAGCAGAACTGAGTAGTTTTGACAGACCATATATGGCCTTAGAAGCCAGAAATATTTATTCACTGGCCCATTTACAATCAATCAAAAGTTGTCAATCATTGATTGGGAGGGACCCAGGTTGGATGGTCGCTATTGCACTTTATCTAGAACTTACCCCTCTGAGCAAGCAAAAATCATCTTATTATCACCTTTTATACCAAATTTTTCCATTGTCAAATGTCTCAGGAGGATATGTTCATGGAATTTGTATCTTTGAAAGTGCTTTCAGGTGGGCAAATTATCGTGTGGCACCAAGCCACCCCTGGGTAGCACATGGTCTCATTGTCCTTTTCCAGAGGGGGACACTTTCCCTCAGTTTTGCATTACTATTTACCTGCTCTCTGCTATCTGTGTGCTCACACATACATATGCCTTCAGTGACTTAGGCTGTCACTTTATCTGATGAGATTCCCACTCGTACCAGCATAAATATGACAGCTGTAGCTAAGGTTGATCTATACCAATTTCCTGTGAACATGCACCTTTGTAACACAGGAGTGAGATTTAAGGGTGAAAGAGCTTGACCTTGTTAGCAGAAGAACAGAAACAGGAGTGGGTAGGTTTTGGTATTTGCTGATGTGAAGTAAGAGGAGATGATGAGACATGATTCTGAAATTCTCATTTCTTACAGGTGTGAATCATTCTGATTTTCCCAGGCACCCTATCTTTTTGCTATATCAGGAACTCAAGCACAGGTGGGTAGAGAGGTAGGGCAATAATGCTGGGAGAGAGAATGCTTATGGTCACTGGGAGTCTTCCAAATCTTCAGAAGGCTGAGTAGAAACTTTTGGTTGCTTTAGTTTTTTTTTTTTTTTTTAATTTTGGTACTGGGGATTAAACCAGGGGTGTTTAACCACTGAGCCACATTCCCAGCCCTTTTTTATTTTTTTGAGAGAAGATCTCGGAAAGTTGCTGAGGCTGGCTTCGAACTTGCAATCCTCCTACCTCAGCCTCCAAGCCAGGGTTCACTTTAAAAATAAATATTATACTCGACCATCAATATATGTATGCCTTTTTAAGGTCTAAAGAGAATAGACTTTTTAAGAGGAATTGTGCTTTCATTTAGTTTATCCCAGGGTGAGGAAGTGACATGGATAGATTATCAAAAGCCAGGCTGCATCTCTAACATGCAGAGGTTTATAGGTATCTGCACTGCTGTCCTGGTAACAAAAAGGAAAGTCCCAGGTTTGAGGTTTAGTCTGGAAGGTATACAAAGTCATAAATGGTTTGATTCCAGTTTGTAACCTTTTCTCCCCAACACTCCACCTTTTGTATGTGTGTGTGTGTGTGTGTGTGTGTATGTGCACACGCGTGTGAGCTGGGGATTGAACCAGGGGCTTGCTCGTGTTAGGCAAGTGCTGTATCACTCAGCTACATTCCAAGCCCTTCTAAAATTTTTATTTTGAAGCAAAGTCTCCCTGGCTAGCCTTGAATTTGTCATCCCTCTGCCTTGGCCTCCTGAGTAGCTGGATGGCTGGACCATGAGTCTTCAATGCTTTTATAAGTTAATTGCTAACATTTTAAAATTAGAATATTTCACTTAAAATCTAGATTTCCAATTTCTCTTGAAAATTCCAAGTCACTGGACATACACTGGGCTTCATTCCTGCTTGTCAGCATTTGCTCAGAGTAGGTGGGGGGTTCTCTTTCATAGAGAACCCAAGTTATCCAGTTCTGTTTATCTTCCTTACACCCAACCTTGGTAATTGTTGGTATTATTCCTCTTGACCTTGGGGCCTTTGAGCAAGGGATCTCTGCTCTATGCTGCATAAAGAATTTGTGCTGTTGCTAAGTTTTATGGCTCACTTGTGCTCTAATCATTTTCCATTCTGACTGCTTGGTGGAATGAACAGCTGACTTTGAGAAGACACGTGTACTCTGTGATCACTAAGGATGCAGAGCCATTTATCCTAGGGATCTGAATGGCTGTAAAGAGTAAGCACATCCAGTGTGATGGTGACCTTAGGATGGCTTAAAAACCAACATTTCATTGAGAGTTATCATTTCCTCTCCATCATCTTTCTGGTAATGATGTATCTCATAATTCCTGAAGAAAATGGAAGCACATTTTGTAGGGATGTATTCACTGGGATTAATAATACTTGTTTATTTGGAAAGAATTGTTGCTAAGAGCTGGGTGTGGTGGCACACACCTGTAATTCCATAGGCTTGGGAGGCTGAGGCAGGAGGATTGTGAGTTCAAAGCCAGCCTCAGCAAAAGCAAGGCACTAAGCAACTCAGTGAGACCCTGACTCTAAATAAAATACAAAATAGGGCTGGGGATGTGGCTCAATGGTTGAGTGCCCCTGAGTTTAAGCCCCAGTACTGCCCACCCCCCTCAAAAAAACCTGAATTGTTGCTAAGACTCTCAGGTCAGTCTTTAGGAACCCCATACTTTAGGTGAAACAAAAATGGAGACACACACAAAAAAAAATTAAGAAAGAACATATAGATACCTGTCATACTGTTGGGAGTCATAGGTTAGTAATCATTCTGGATCCTTCTTTTCACTGACATCTCCTACAAAGAGAAAATACAAGAAAAAAGTACCACAGGTTATAATTTGCTTTTTCCCCATCATGTTTTTGTTTCAAACATTATATGCATTATTAACCTTGAGGCAAGATTTGTCACACTCCGAGTTGGGGAAACTGAAGTCTAACTGGGCCATGGGACGTGTATGTTGACAAAACCTCTTCGTTTTTAATCTCAGGGTTCCTTCTGTAAACATGTTATTAAAGTAATATATATCTTTTCCAAGTCACATTCTTCCATCTCAGGTTTTTAAGAAAGTTTCCAGCCCACTGGTTGGCTCTTTCCCTGGCAAGAGTTAGGCGAAGATGTATTAGCATCTTTAATGTAGATCTTTGCTTCTCAAAGATGCTGGTCCGAGGATCAGCATTTCAGCATCAGCTGCTAGTTTGTTAGAACCACCTTAATCAGATTCTGCATTTAGACAAGATCCCAGGTGATTCATGTGCTCTTTAAACCTTAGATGTCCTGTTCTAGAGGACCAAATCCCTCATCTGCCCATTTAAGACTTTTCTCCAGTCAGAGCTCCCTCCTCCCCCTCGATACTTCATTAATAAGATCCATGAGCAATAGGCAGTCTGGCCCTCAGACTGGGGAAGGAGGCCCAGCAGGTGTCAATGCCCAGTGGCACAATGACCAAGGGGTGAGGGTTGAATGATGCACACAGATGGACACAGGTGGCTGATGAACAGGTCGGTGTCCTTCAGCATATTATTGCTGGGGACAGATCAGAAATGGGTTCTTATTTTTTTTCTGGAGAGTATTCTGTGTCACGTGGAGACCAGTGGCAGCATGTTGGCTTTGGAATAGCCCTGAAGCCCCGGGCATGGGCTTCAGGGTCAATGCTGTCATGTACTAGCTTTGGGATCATGACAAGTCATTTCAAAGCACTGGAATCTCCATTTCCTTGGTGGAAAACAAGGAAAGTAATGCATGCTTCACTTATTTCAGAAGGATGATGTTTTAATTTTTTAAATTGTTTTAATTAGTTCTTTTTAGTTATATGTGACAGTGGGATCCATTTGGACATAATTATACAAGCACAGAATATGTCTTGTTCTGATTTGTTTCTGAGTTTTAGAGAGGATGTGAGTGAGGGTCTGGGTGTGGTGGCACATGCCTGTAATCCCAGCAGCTTGGGAGGCTGAGGCAGGAGGATCATGAGTTTAAAGCAGCCTCAGCAACTTAGTGAGGCCCTAAGCAACTCAGTGAAACTTTGTCTCTAAATAAAATACAAAAAAGGGATGGGGATGTGGCTCAGTGGCTAAGTGCCCCTGGGTTTGATCCCTGCTATCCAAAAAAAGATTGAAAAAAATGTATGTGAGTGAAAATGCTGGGTGGACTATAATGTACTGGGCACAGGAAAACCATCAGAAGAGGAAGAACAATCTCAATGTTGGGGAAGAGGAAGAACCATCTCAATGTTGGGGAAGAGGAAGTATATGAACTATGTTCACAGTGCAGATTTATAGATGACCATTCATTCTAACTCTACATTTAATACTAAGCAATGAAGTCATACACCATCATAGTTCTTGTCACACCCAGTGGAAATTATAGGCTTACATGGCTGCCTTTCCCACTACACTATAATCTCTTCATGACCAGTCCTGCCCCTCTCATTTATATATCTTTCATATCAAGCAGAGTATCAGATACAAAATGGGCACTCCACAACTATGTGATGAATAATTGAATAAAATAAAACAAATGAAGTTGATACGGCATGATGCAAGCCACCTGAATTGGTATCTGATAGAACAGAAGATTATTATTAACTATTAGGAAAATGCATTCTTGCTCCTAATCAGCTTTTCAAAGTTCACCAGCCCCAAGTCTCTGCCCATCCTCATTCCACAGTCCAGCTGGGTTTTGAGGGAGAGGGACCAGGTGTGGAGATGTCCTCCAGTGAGAACACAGGTCACCCCAGCGGTGCTGCATGTCTGAACTGTGTTGCTTTTCTTATAAACTGTGCAGCCATTAGCGGCCCCCTTCAGACGCGGGGAGCTGCCATGTTTTCACATGACGTGCTCCAGAATGTTCTGGAGATAATGAGCTCTGCTCAAGCTGGGCCAGTCCAGTGCCCCACCTCTGGCCAAACTGGTTCAAGACCTGAAGTAAGCTAATAAGATACCTCTTCAGGATATTTGGAGAGAGGAAGGGAAGAAGAGAGAGAAGAAGGGAAGAAGAGTAGGAAGAAGCCAGGGGAGGTAAAGAGATACTCATCTCCTTTCCACAGAAAGAATTCATCAGAAGTTAAAACCCTAAGATTCTTTGGGTCCATGTCTCTCAGCCACCTGGAAAAAGTCCATCTGAAGGTGAAAGAGGATCAACCTGACTTCAGAGACTCTGAGGTGGAAAGGGAATGCTGTGGCCCAGACCCTCGGTTTCCATTCCCCCTGAGACCCAACTCTGTCCCCTTCTGCTCCTCTAAGGGTCTGGCTACTCAACTCTTCTCTGGTCACACCCTGAGCAAAATGATCTCCTTTTCATATAATCCAATTCAAGTCATGCTTCTGTCAACTGCAACCAAAAGAATTTAGCCCCTGGATTAAAATGCAACATTAATACGAATGTGTCAGAAGAGTTTGTATTCTTTTCATCATCTCAAAGTTGGACTACAAAATTGCAGTTATTGCTATATTATCAACTCAAGAATTTATTTTCCACACTCCAATTAAGTAGGCATACATACTACAGAAAAGTATTGTCTGTGAAGCAGAAAGAATCCAGGAACAGGAGAAAAATCTTATTGACATTTTAAAGTTAATGTCAGCACCACAAAACTTAGTACTAATTTTCCTATTTAGTATTATCATCCCTCAACCACTTTGGTATTTCTGTTACAATATTATAGCAGTAGCATTACTATGATGATAGCATTAATGTATACTATTACTATAGTACTTTGGCATTGAATATTATTTAGTGTTTAATATTATTTAGTACTGTTTTCCTTAAATGAGTTCACACAGTTTTTGTTACTATAGTTCCATATATTTAAAGTCAGGTGTTGTAATTCCTCCAGTGTTGATTTTTTGGCTTAGAATTGCTTTGGCTATTCTGGGTCTTTTGTTCTTCCAAATGAATTTCAGGACTTTTTTTTTTTTCTTTGAACCTTTAGTTCTGTGAAGAACCTCATTGGCGTTTTGATGGGGATTGTACTGAATGTATATATTGCTTTTGGTCATTTGGCTACTTTAACAATATTAATTCTGCCTACCCATGAACATAAGTGACCTCGCCATCTTCTTGGGTCTTTTTCAATATCTTTGTTTACTGTTCTGTAATTTTTATTACAGAGCCTGTTGTTCATCTCCTTGGTTAGATCTACTCCTAGGTATATTTTGAGGCTATTGTGAATGAAATTGTTTTTCTGATTTCTTTTTCAGCAGATGCATTATTGGTATATAGGAAGGTGATGGATTTTTCTATCTTGATTTTATAACCTGCCATTTTGCTTAATTTGTTTATTAGCTCTTAGCAGTCTTTTGGTGGAGCTTTTTGTAGAGGGTCATACCATCTGCAAACAGTGAGAATTTGTCTTCTTACTTTCTTATTTTTTATCTCTTTTATTTCGTCTCTTGCATAATTGCTCTGGCTAGAATTTTCAGTACTTTATTGAATGTGAGTGGTGAGAGTGGATGCTTTCCATATTTTTGAAAGGAAATGTTTTCAGTTTTCCCCCATTCACTATGATGTTGACTTTGTGTTTGTCATATATAGCTTTTATGATATTGAGGTAGTTTCCTTCTGTCCCTAGTTTTTTTCAATGTTTTTATCATGATTGGGTGCTGAATTCTGTTGAAGACTTTCTCTGCATCTATTGAGATGAATGTGTGATTTTTGTCCTTAATCCTATTTATGTGGTGAATTACATTTATTGATTTGCATATGTTGAACTATCTTTGCAGCCCTGGAATAAAACCAAATTGGTCATGATGCACAATTTTTTTAATATGTTGTCAAATACAATTTGTTAATGTTTTAAAGATTTTTGCATATAAGTTCACGAGGGATGCTGGTCTGTAGTTTTCTTTCTTCCATGTGTCCTTATCTGATTTCGGTATAAGGGAGATACTGCTTTATAGAAAAAAAAATTGGAAGTGCTTCATCCTCATGTTTATTTCATGAGGAACATTGGCATTAATATTTAAAGTTCTGGTAGAATTTTGATGGGGAAGATCCATCTAGTCCTGGGCTTTTCTTTGTTGAAAGGCTTTTTATTACTGCTTCTAGCTCATTGCTAGTTACTGGTCTGTCTAGGTTTTCTGTATCCTCTTGATTTAATTTTGTCAGGTCATGTGTAACTAGAAATGTATATATTTCTTCTAGGTTTTCCAATTTATAGAAATACAAATTTTCAAAAGAATCCCCAATGATTCTCTGGATATCCTTGATGCCTGTGGTCATTTCTTCTTTTGCCATCTGTAATCTTATTAATTTGGGTCTCTCTCTTTCTTTTGGTTACTTTGGCTAATGGCTTATCAATCTTTTTTAAAAATTAAATTATTTATTCTAATTTGTTATATATGATATATTCTATCACATATATATGCAATTCAATTCATATTATACAAATAGAGCAAAATTTTTCTTCTGTGGTCGTACACAAAGTAGATTCACACCATTTGCGTCTTCATACATGTACTTAGGGTAATGATGTCCATTTCATTCCACCATCTTTCCTACTCCCATGCCCCCTCCCTTCCCTTCCCTCCCCTTTTCTCTATCTAAAGTTCCTCCATTCTTCCAGTGTCCTTCCCTCTGCATCCCCATTATGAGTCAGCATCATATCAAAGAAAACATTCGGCCTTTAGTTTTGGGGACTGGCTAACTCACTTAGCATAATATTCTTCAACTCTGTCCATTTACTGCAAATGCCATGATTTTGTTCTCTTCTAATGCTGAGTAATACCATTGTGTGTGTGTGTGTGTGTGTGTGTGTGTGTGTGTATGTATATATATTTGTATATATATATATATAT